TAGTAGTGTAGTGTATAGTAGTGTACAGTGTAGTGTATAGTAGTGTAGTGTATAGTAGAGTAGTGTATAGTGTAGTGTATAGTAGTGTAGTGTATAGTGTAGTGTATAGTAGTGTACAGTGTAGTGTATAGTGTAGTGTATAGTAGTGTAGTGTATAGTAGTGTAGTGTATAGTAGTGTAGTGTATAGTAGTGTAGTGTATAGTAGAGTAGTGTATAGTGTAGTGTATAGTAGTGTAGTGTATAGTAGTGTACAGTGTAGTGTATAGTAGTGTAGTGTATAGTAGAGTAGTGTATAGTGTAGTGTATAGTAGAGTAGTGTATAGTGTAGTGTATAGTAGAGTAGTGTATAGTGTAGTGTATAGTAGAGTAGTGTACAGTGTAGTGTCTAGTAGTGTATAGTGTAGTGTATAGTAGTGTACAGTGTAGTGTATAGTATTACCTTCCGTCTCTTGCTGTTCCTGCTGCTGTGTTCAAGGCCGTGACTTGACGGGACTTCTTGGTTCCGCTCAAGGCCTTCTTTGCAGGCTTTGCCTTGTCGCCATTTTCATCGTCAGAATTGGTCACCGCTTGAGACATTTTGCTTGGCGGAAGAGAGGCCGATGAGAAGTCACCGTCTGTGGCGATGCAACACGCACACACATTGACGCGCGTACATCGCTGGGTTTGTTAAACCGATAACCATTTTCGGAATCAAATGGCGGTTATGAAAGTCGGGAATTGGCAATTGTTTACGGTTGGATTTTACTACCGGTGCAGAGGGCCTCCACAAGAGGGAGCTGAAAAGAGGAAATTGCCTACTCTCCCACGCTGCGCAGACACATTGGTAGAGGCGGCAAAGCGCCTCCTCGACCACACACGACCAAGCGCGGTGAACTCATTGACACCGCTGGGTGGAAGAGAGGTGGGGAGGGGATTTAAGAGACTTTCCACGTCGGGATATGGAGTTGAACCAGCGGCTTCTGGATTGCAAGCCCACCGCGCTAACCACGGCAGCTCCATTGCGGATGGATCTAATGCGATTTTACTTTGGTAATGAAATATGACTTGTAATCATTTAAATAAGCCAACGAGTCAATGACCATAATTACAATCGTAACCATCACTACTGTCCACCACGTCGTCTGCCCATAACCATCATATGTATAGATACCTCACATTCTACTCACCGTCGTCTTCAAAGTCCTCAGGCTGAGTATAATCAAATTTCTTGAATCTGCAACACCAATCATTTGGATAAAAGAAAAACAACGAAAGATCAATTCAGGAATAAATCACATTACGTACATGGATTCACGGGCCCACTTGCTGTACTGCCAGGACACCAGTGCTACTGAATTACAATGACACAATGCAAAGCAAGTGCCATGGCAGTGCCTATCGATCTGCAAAGGCGGTTGTCAATCAATGACATTGATGCTGCATTGAAACTCGTCGTCATCGATGAACATGACTCCGGGCCAATCAACGAACATAAAGTGACACCAACTAACGGCCATGACATGTAGCCCGCCAACACTGTCCCAACTGATCCGATGTACCAATGTCATCAATTACACTATACACTACACTGTACACTACACTGTATACTACACTACTATACACTACACTATATACTACTAGACACTACACTACTATACACTACACTATACACTACACTACTATACACTACACTATACACTACTAGACACCACACTACTATACACTATAAACTACTCTACACTACACACTACACTAATCAACACTAATATACACTACACTAATATGCACTACACTACTAAACACTATACTACTATACACTACACTATATACTACTAGACACTACACTACTATACACTACACTATACACTACTATAAACTACTCTACACTACACACTACACTAATCTACACTATAAACTACTCTACACTACTATACTATGAACTACACTACTCTACACTACACTGTACACTGCTATACACTACTCTACACTATACACTGTACACGACTATACACAATTGGTTGTTTACCCTTCTATCTGGCAACAAAACTGACACCTTTTGTTGCCAGATAGAAGGGTAAACAACCAATTATCAACCCCCTCACCAGTTGCTGTGCCGGGTGGTGGCGAGTTTAACGACACAACATTTACACATTGACGCGATCTGCCCCAACCAACAACAACAAACTCCCTCTCTGTTATGAATCAGCCACAGAGCCACTCACGCACCTGAGTAGCCTCGGCATGTCAATTGAAGTCTCACACCCCCCAATACAACAACCACAAGCCACCAACGAGCAATAAAACTAAAAAAAAAGACGCGGATAAGAGCCGCGATGACGTCGATAACAACACCGATGAGGGATTTCCCTCAAACGTGAGGGAAGTGAACGCCAACTTTGTATAACTGTGAAGTTGTATCAAGTTAAACTTTTGTCGATTAACGCGAATTAGCGAGTTTGGCGCGAAGCCAGATTTGCAAAGCGCACGAGGGGGACAAAGCCGCTGATTCCTCGCAGCCAGTTTCGTCACGACGCCGATTGTGGTGGTCACGATAATAAAAAACTTACGTATACAATATTGTAAGTATGGGTTTAATCTCGTTTAAAATGTGTACAATTAAATAATGTATTTATTAGGGAGGGAGGGAGGGGTGTTTTAAGATATAAATGTTGTGGATTGCGTCAAGGCAGAGATGATGGGTGAATGTGTTAAGCGAATGCGGTAGGCGAATGATCGGTTGGCAGCGTCTTTTCCACGGGGGGTTGTGGGTCACGTGGTGTCACCCCCCCCCCCCCCCCGGCTTTCGTGATTGGGTGGGTGAGTGGAGGGTGAATTTTGACTTCAAACTTTAATATTCTTGGTTCTTACAGGTAAAGTCACGGAGATGTAAAATAAATAATAAAAATAATAAAATAACATTTTTATTAAAAATAATAAGTTTGAAGTCTAAATAATAAATTGGGTGTTTTGCTTTTATTATTTTTTAATTAATGATACTTTTAATTTTTTTTACTTTATATATTCGTGACTTTACAAAAAGAACAAAAAATTCGAATTCCTGCAGTCACGAAAGTTTTAAGTCAAAATTGAATACGACTTTGCATTTACCATTCTATTAATTGAACGTTGCCTTGCAGTGAAACTCGGTTCATAACTCACACAAGGCAGAATCATATTTGGCAGTGTTCACAAGAGCCCATGAACTCAGTAGAGAGCCACAGGTGACAGCGCGTGGCGACACCGACACACACAAAGCGCGCGTCTGGGGGGACATCTCCCACTGCCGCTGCAGTGACCACCTCCATCAGCCGCACTGCTCTCGGTGCCTGAGCTGGACTCACTTTACACCGCTGGGAACCTCCTGGTTACACCAGCCCACAGGGGATTGTTGTGTCCGTCCGTTCGTCGTGCATAAAAAAAATGGGAGGGGTGGGGCTGGGTGGAGAGGGAGGGGCTGGGTGGGGAGGAGCTGGTGGGAGGGTGGGGCTGGGTGGGGAGAGGTGGAGGAGGGGCTGGGTGGGGAGGGGTGGGGCTGGTGGGGGGGGAGGAGCTGTGGTGGGTGAGGGTGGGGCTGGGTGGGTGAGGGTGAGGAGGGGCTGGGTGGGGAGGGGCTGGTGGTGGGGTGAGGGAGGGGCTGTGTGAGGAGGGGTTTTGGGGGGGAGGGTGAGGAGGGCTGGGTGGGGAGGTGAGGAGCGGGGATGGGTGGGGAGGGGCTGGCGTGGGGCGGGTGAGGAGGGGCGGGTGGGGAGGGGATGGTTGGGGTGGGGAGGGTGAAGAGGAGCTGGGGGGTGGGTCGAGGGTGAGGAGGGGTGTGTGGGGAGGGGCTGGTTTGGGGAGGGGTCCTCTGAGTCACCCCGTGGTGAACTCTGCCGCGACGTGAGGGGGGAGCACCGCCCGAGCGCGCCTCGTGTCAGTGCAAAACATCACGGGGCGCTGCGGGTGGGGAGTCAGCGCATTGTGGGTTGTGAGCGCGGTGTGAGGGAGGTGAGGAACGGGGGGGAAGAGAGAGACAGGGAGAGGGCTGGAGGTGAGAGATGGGGGGGGGGAGATGTGGTGGGAAATGACTTTGACACAGTCCACTGGGCATCTGTAATTGGGTGCTCATCATCAAGTTCTCATTCAGTGGTGGAAAGTCCACGTTCATATGGTCGATCCAGATTTCGGAGATTTTTAACATCGTGGCTCACAGCGCCGCCTGGTGGAACGAAAGGGCATCGCAAACATCCTCCAGCGAATATCTTTATTTGGAGCTTTCGTGACTGCAGGAATGACTCTTTGGTTCTTTCGGTAAAGTGACGTAAAAAGATAAAATAATAAATTTAAAAATAGCATACGACGTTTCGATTGCAACACAAGCAATCGTCATCAGGTATAAAAGAAATAAAAAATCTAACCATAAAACTATAGACAGACACACAATCAGACAGATCTATATTTAAGGCCCCGTCACAGAAACGACCTCTCTCTTTGTGCCGATGTATTCTCTCTGTGTGTCCTTGTGATGTCTGTCTGCTTGTGTGTCTGTCTATAGTTTTCTAGTTAGATTTTTGTTGCTATTTCTTTTATGCCTGATGATGATTGCTTGTGTTGCAATCGAAACGTCGTAATATGCTATTATTCAATTTATTATTTTATCTTTAGACGTGACTTTACCGAAAGAACCAAAGAATAATTCCTGCAGTCACGAAAGCTCCAAAACTAACATTTAAATGTGGTAAGCAATGTGGGACATCGATGTACACAGATATGAACAAGATCAGCAGACGAGACGTCTTTCATTTAATCGGTCTCTCCACGAAACAAAGGAACGTTTTACACAAAATATAAATCCCACGGCCTTGTGCGAGTCCATGACTAGTGCAGCAGTGACTCAGTGCGAGGCAGCTGTGGACCGGTTCTTGTGCACGATGTCTGAACAGCAGTCAGGGCTCGCTTCTACCCACGGTTGTCAACATCCAGACGTTCATCAGCAAGGAACATTTCTTGTCCTAGTTCACCAACATAAGACGTCATACAAAATCCTAATTAGCGTTGGGTAGAATGTATCTACTCGATGTGCTCTGCCTTGTAACTGAACACAAAATTGTAAAAAAAATGCATTTTAAATGTACTCTTAAAATTACCTCCTTGCTATAAAAGAATTCAGACTTTACATATTTCATTTATCGATCTCTCCACGAAAGGAATGTTTTAAACTATAACCATCACGGCCTTCTGGGAGTGCATCATTGATTCAGTGCAAGCCACCTATGGACCCTTATTGGTGAACAGCGTCTCAACAGCAGCCGGGCTTGCTTCAACCCACGGTTATGAACCTCCAGACGTGAATCAACAAGGAGCATTTATCGTCCTAGTTTGACAAAGTCTCTGTCAACACGTAATACAAAATTATAATTCGTGTTGTAGAGAATGTATCTCCTCTACGTGTAGCGTTTAAGCGGTACGCCTTGTAACTGTTGGATGATCCGAGCGTGCTCCCTATTGCATGCTCCCTACTCCAGAGGCAGATACTTCCTTGAAACACAAAAGTACCCTTTGAGCTGTATCACAAGAATAACGGGTCTAACCTGAGTAATCTCTACAGGCTACTTACAAACACACACACACACTTTGCCCCAACATCACTTATTCGATGTTTGACCCTCAGACAAAATGTTCAATGTACGCGCACAATCAGACAAGTATTCATTCTAAACTACTGACAGGCATATTGACAAAATTGAATAACTGCAGTGAAACTTACTGCATCGGTAAAGTCACGGAGAAATAAATTAAATAACAGAATACGACGTTTCGATTGGAATACAAGCAACCATCATCAGGTGCAACAAGTGAATGAGAAAACATAGTGAACTTAGAAATATAATGCAACACAACACAGAGTCGGCCAACACAACAGTCAACACCCTACCTGGTTGATTACGTTCTTCCAAAATTGAACAATTTAGTTTAGATAACATCTTATTAACAAGGAGCTATTTAAAGAATGCACCCTCTACTGAACAGTGGATGTGAAACACACAATTGTGCAATTCAAAACGAGTAGGCCTTTGCATGCTGGCGTCTGGGTCAAAAATGTAGCAAATTCTAAACATTACCTACAAACGACACAGCTGAGATGACACATCAATCATCGCTCCCCACTGACAGGCTCTTGTCCACACGCAGGCCGGTGCAGGGCCACCATCTTGTGCCACACAGGGGCAGCTGCCACTTGGGGATGTTTCGAGTGTTTGAGACGAGGTACGATACAAAACTCCGAGTTGCTGAGCGGATTAAGTCAGCACCATGTAAAATCAATTATTATGAGAACATCGTGAATGCTTGGGAGCTTTTTGGCTCTCGCTCCTGGTTAGAGATCTACCCAACACACAGGTCCACAAAGACTGGCCGCTCTTACCCTGCAGGTTGAACCTAGGAACTGAGTGTTCAACTTCACATTCTTGTCATTAAAGGCCTGTGACAAAGGTGCATCTATTGGAGCGACATTGTCTCTGGCTTAAACATCTACCGGGTCTCCATTTGACTTCGTGTTGTCTCGGAGGAAGTCCACCCACACCTCCACTTCCACAAACTGCTGGGAGTTGCTTCGCTCTGCCTCACAGTCAGAATTCTCCTCCTGCTTCACGTTGCCTCCATCCATGTGAAGGTCCCATTTTGGAATTTAATCTTCATCTTCACTCTTCACCATCACTTCTTCACATTCCAACTTCACCTCTTCATATTTCACCTTGATACCTTTAAAAGTGTCCAAGCTGGGATTTTCTTCCGGTTCTTGTTTCACAAGGGATGGGCTCATTGCAGCACTTTGACTTTCACAAGCTGATTTCAGACTCCGCTCCTTGTGGATCTTCTGATGCTTGTGTGTTCTCTGGTGTCTTTGAAGATGTGCTGACTGTGCAAATGCCTTCCCGCACGGAGTGCACTTGAAGGATTTCTCTCCTGTGTGAGTTCTCTGGTGTACTTGAAGATTGGAAGAATCTGAAAACGCCTTCCCGCACAGAATGCACTTGAAGAGTTTCTCTCCTGTGTGTGTTCTCTGGTGTCTTTTAAGATCTGATGACTGTGCAAATGCCTTTCCACACACACTGCACTTGAAGAGTTTATCTCCCGTGTGTGTTCTCTGGTGTTTTTTAAGATCTGATGAACGTGCAAATGCCTTCCCACACACACTGCACTTGAAGGGTTTCTCTCCTGTGTGTGTTCTCTGGTGTTTTATAAGAGATGACTGTGAAAATGCCTTCCCACACACACTGCACTTGAAGGGTTTCTCTCCTGTGTGTGTTCTCTGGTGTCTTTTAAGATTATATGACTGAGAAAATCCCTCCCCACACACATTGCACTTGAAGGGTTTCTCTCCTGTGTGTGTTCTCTTGTGTTTTTTAAGATCTGATGACTGTGGAAATGCCTTCCCACACACAGAGCACTTAAAGGGTTTCTCTCCTGTGTGTGTTCTCTGGTGGATCTGAAGAGCAGATGGCCATGCAAATGCCTTCCCACACACACTGCACTTGAAGGGTTTCTTTCCTGTGTGTGTTCTCTGGTGTTTTATAAGATCTGATGACTGTGCAAATGCCTCGTCACACACAGTGCACTGTAAGGGTTTCTCTCCTGTGTGTGTTCTCTGGTGCTGTGTCAAATTTCCAGTCCGCTCCGTGCTGTATCCACACTGGTCGCATTGTTGCCTTGCCGTACCGAGCTGTGCTGACTGCCTTTGCTCCATCAGACCCAAACGTAAGCTGTAGACAGAAAAAAATAATATGCACACCACCTACACAACAGTATCGAGGCACAGATGAATGCAAAAACAAAGTCACACGTGACTTACACGTCTATACTTATTCATATATTCATGATGTGAAAAAGTTTCCCAAATTCATCACACGGGCTGTTATTGCACACAATGAGAGGGCAAATGGTCATAAATATGCCTGGAAGCCCTCGTATCTCCGTGGTGAGACGTTAACTACCTCACCTGGTATACAGGAAGTCGTGGGTTCGATCCCGACCCTGACGCCTGCTGCTGTATATTTGGAGTTTGCGTGTCTCACTCTCCGTGGTAAGATGTTAACTACCTCACCTGGTTTACAGGAAGTCGTGGGTTCGATCCCGACCCTGACGCCTGCTGCTGTATATTTGGGGTTTGCCTGTCTCTCTCTCTCCGTGGTGAGATGTTAACTACCTCACCTGGTATACAGGAAGTCGTGGGTTCGATCCCGACCCTGACGCCTGCTGCTGTATATTTGGAGTTTGCGTGTCTCTCTCTATCTCTCTCTCCGTGGTGAGATGTTAACTACCTCGCCTGGTATACAGGAAGTCGTGGGTTCGATCCCGACCCTGACGCCTGCTGCTGCTGTATATTTGGAGTTTGCGTGTCTCTCTCTCCGTGGTGAGATGTTAACTACCTCACCTGGTATACAGGAAGTCGTGGGTTCGATCCCGACCCTGACGACTGCTGCTGTATATTTGGAGTTTGCGTGTCTCTCTCTCTCTCTCCGTGGTGAGATGTTAACTACCTCGCCTGGTATACAGGAAGTCGTGCGTTCGATCCCGACCCTGACGCCTGCTGCTGTATATTTGGAGTTTGCGTGTCTCTCTCTCTCTCCGTGTTGAGATGTTAACTACCTCGCCTGGTATACAGGAAGTCGTGGGTTCGATCCCGACCCTGACGCCTGCTGCTGTATATTTGGAGTTTGCGTGTCTCTCTCTCCGTGGTGAGATGTTGACTACCTCGCCTGGTATACAGGAAGTCGTGGGTTCGATCCCGACCCTGACGCCTGCTGCTGCTGTATATTTGGAGTTTGCGTGTCTCTCTCTCTCCGTGGTGAGATGTTGACTACCTCACCTGGTATACAGGAAGTCGTGGGTTCGATCCCGACCCTGACGCCTGCTGCTGTATATTTGGAGTTTGCGTGTCTCTCTCTCTCTCTCCGTGGTGAGATGTTAACTACCTCGCCTGGTATACAGGAAGTCGTGCGTTCGATCCCGACCCTGACGCCTGCTGCTGTATATTTGGAGTTTGCGTGTCTCTCTCTCTCTCCGTGTTGAGATGTTAACTACCTCGCCTGGTATACAGGAAGTCGTGGGTTCGATCCCGACCCTGACGCCTGCTGCTGTATATTTGGAGTTTGCGTGTCTCTCTCTCCATGGTGAGATGTTGACTACCTCGCCTGGTATACAGGAAGTCGTGGGTTCGATCCCGACCCTGACGCCTGCTGCTGCTGTATATTTGGAGTTTGCGTGTCTCTCTCTCTCCGTGGTGAGATGTTGACTACCTCACCTGGTATACAGGAAGTCGTGGGTTCGATCCCGACCCTGACGCCTGCTGCTGTATATTTGGAGTTTGCGTGTCTCTCTCTCCGTGGTCGCGTGGATTTTCCTCCGAATCTCCCGGGTTTCCCCTCCACATTTAGAGTCAACATCAGCACGCGTTCAGCGTCTTTGACCGATACACATTTCCACACGTATTCTTGGTTCTTTCGGTAAAGTCACGTAGATAGACAATAACAACAGATAATAAAATCAAATAAAGGCCACTTGTGTTGCGATCGAAACGTCGTGGGGTTTTATTTATTTATTTACAATTGTTTACTTTTAGTAATTTTATTATCTGTTATTTTTACTAAATTTCCTATGTCCGTGACTTCACCGAAAGAACCAAGAATATGAATTGCTGCAGTTACTAAAGTTTTAAGTCAAAACATTGACACACGCGTTCACAAACCCCCCATACCTTGTTGTTGTTGTGGGCAGGTAGCTTCTGTAAACAAGAGCGGTACAGCAGCTCAAGCGGGCTTGGGCTGTAAAAAAAACTAAAAAAAAACTGCGTTAATATCTACAGTAAACCAAAGTGACAAAGTAGCGAGCCGCGTGAAGACAAATTAAACTTAAGGGAGGGAATTAAAGCAAACGCGACCAGGCGAGGGCAGGAGGCAAGGCCCCGCGTGTCTAGGCCCCGCGTTGTAAAGTTCCAACTTGGACATCGATTCACAAGCTGCTGCTGCTCTAGTGGCATCCCTACGAGAGAGAGAGCGAGGCTCTACCTTGGTAAACAACAACAACAACCACAACAACAACAACCACAACAACAACCACCACGACGATGAGAATTTCTCACCTCGGATTTCACTGCACGCGCGGAGCGACAGCTTCCTGTGACCTCGTGACGTCACGCGGTAGTAGGTGACATGACGTCACTTCCTGGGTACGTATGAATAAATTATGTTAATGAGACCGTCGCAATATACTGGTGACGTTTTTAACGAACTCTTTATGTTAATGAGCCGCCCGTCACTGGGCGTGGCTTTGCCCAAATAAGGATTGGCAACTGGAACGACGTCTGCAGTGACCGAGGCGGAGGTGACGTCACGTTCAAGAGCGCGGGGGACGGGGGGAGGGAGGGGAACATCATCCGCCTTGTGGGGTCGAAAACGTGTACCTCTTTTTCTCGGGAAGTCAACAGTGGTTGTCCTCTGGATAGAAGTGCTCCTGCCATGGGAACGTGGAATTCCCACCAGTGGCTCAGGACATGTGAACAGAACACGAGCCACCAATGCCTCGCTTCTCATTTAAGCAGGAAATCGGTTTGACGTTTTGATTGTAATAATGTGACGTAGCGTCGTCCTTGACAGCCTCATTGCCGCATGAAGACATCCTCCTGCCTCCTCTGTGTCATTGCTTTCATGGCTTTATTTTGGTGATTTCGAAAAGTGTATTGGTTTGGCCATGTTTGTTTGTTGTAGTACAGAGTTAGACTGCCTTAATCTAAGTTGTCTTGTGGTTGTTGTTGTTTGACTTGCATCCCACTGAGATGTTTGACACAGCGTTGGTGTGTAACGGTGCTTTTTTCTGCAATATTTTGCTGTCTTTTCTTGGATTTTCTGTTTGCACTCAGTCACATATTCACTACAAGATGTTTTTTGTTCATGTTTTTTTGTTTGTTGCGGTTGTACCCGATTCAAGAGCCGAATGGCTCAAAGGGCTACACCTAGTACTTGAACTTGGTCACGACGTTTGTTTGACCAAACCTCACCGCGCTGCTCAGTGCGAGGAGGTGCGGCTCAACACCGGCCTCTCCTCAGTGGCCGAGAGCTCGTCTAGCGAAGCTGCTCCCGCTCAGCCCGCGCCTCGCGTGCCGTGGCCAATGCGAAGCCGTCTTCGCCGCACACGGAATGGTCCCAAACATCAGCACCACGGACAGCGCCGGGTGCTACCCGATACCCGGCTACCCGTACCCTACCCGCTACCCCGGCTACCCTACCCGATACCCTACCCGATACCCGTACCCTACCCGATACCCTGCTACCCTACCAGATACCCGTACCCTACCCGATACCCGTAACCTACCCGATACCCGGCTACCCTACCAGATACCCGTACCCTACCTGATACCCGTACCCTACCCGATACCCGTACCCTACCCAATACCCGTACTCTACCCGATACCCGGCTACCCATACCCGATACCCGTACCCTACCTGATACCCGTACCCTACCCGATACCCGTACCCTACCCGATACCCGGCCGGGTACGGGTACCCGTTTGCGACCCTGGTGCGGCCGGGTACGGGTAGGCCGTGAGTCACCGGTGAGTCACCGTTTGTCACTCATTTCCCAACGTCTTGTCTCTTCTCACAATTCAAGTTCCTAGAATCAACCCACCCGCGCCTGCAACATGGCTTCATCCCAGAGGTCGCAATCGGGTACCCGATACCCGTACCCTACCCGATACCCGGCCGGGTACGGGTAGGGTACGGGTACCCGTTGCGACCCAGGTGCGGCCGAGTACAGGTACGGGTAGGGTACGGGTAGGGTACGGGTACCCGTTTGCGACCCTGGTACAGCTGGGTACGGGTAGGGTACGGGTAGGGTACGGGTAGGGTACGGGTACCCGTTTGCGACCCTGGTACAGCTGGGTACGGGTACGAGGGGTAAGGAATCAAAACCCGTTTGCGACCTCTGCCCACGAGCTCTCGAGGCGACGCTGCTCGTGGCTGGCGGCTCATTTCCCACTGGCCGTAGAAACGAGGCGTCGGGGGGTCTGTGAACTACAGCAGCGAAATCCCTCTCCCCCCTCTCTCTCTCTGAACCTCGTCATCAAAGAACACAACGAACTCCGCCCCCTTGCTCTGACCCCCGTGTAGGGGAATCGCAAAGGGTTGCTGTGGGGGGGGGATGCGTGACGTGACGCTTCCACATGCGCGGGTCACGTGACAGATGTGACGTCACAGCTCACTTGCCGTGCAAAATCTCTGCATTGTTGCGCCCCCCCCCCCCCCAAAAAAAAAACACAAAAGTCTATTTTTAGAATGTTTGCATGATGTACTGTCTGGAAAGTACCCGCATGGCAAATTTAAAGTTTGTTGCATGTCGGGAAGTACGCTAAACATTTTGAACAGACACACATTCACAACTGCCTTTAATATCTATAGAGAAAGATAACATTTTACAACTCTGCTGGTCACTTGGCTTTCAAGGCATTACGCATTTTTCAGCAGTTTCGGTTTAATAAAAGCAAACTCTGGACAGGTTTTGAGATGCAGTGTCTCATCAGCAGAGCCGGGCTACCTGAAACAAATACTGGTGAACGTGGACGTATTTGAAGGCATATTTGTAGCGTGGATCAGAACTATGAAATACATAACACCAATGATCATTTGTATCATCGTGCACAACATATTTAACTTAAAGACAAGCCGTAGGCCTCACTCGGCTGATGAGAAACTGCACGTCGAAACCTTTACAGAGTTTGCTTGTGTTAGTCCAATGCTTCTGATAACACAAAAAGCCCTTCCAGAAGACCGCGTGGCCGAAGTGAGTGTGTCAAAAATTTGTGTTTTTTTATGGATGGACCAATACGGGAAGGAGGCATCTTGTCTGCTTATCTGCGAGATGCCTGTCAAAAGCAGGCCAGAGAACAATGCACAACCCGTGTGTGCAGCACACAGGTCGCAAACGGGTTTTGATTCCTTACCCGTACCCGGCCGCACCATGGTCGCAAACGGGTACCCGGCCGGGAACGGGTAGGGTACGGGTATCGGGTAGGGTACGGGTATCGGGTACCCGATTGCGACCTCTGGGATGAAGCCACGTTGCAGGCGCGGGTGGGTTGATTCTAGGAACTTGATTGTGAGAAGAGACAAGACGTTGGGAAATGAGTGACAAACGGTGACCTGTACCCGGCCGGGTACGGGTAGCCGGGTATCGGGTAGGGTACGGGTATCGGGTACCCGGTTGCGACCTCTGGTGCAGCACCACTCCTGCCACTTCGCAGACAGTGACGGGCTTGGCTCGTGCGTTCATTGCACAAAATGTTACAAACGCGACAAACACCAAAGACTCTTCAACGTTAACTGGGCAACTTAATAAGAAGTTCCTCGCTGGAATGGACTGGTCTCTTCCCGACTGATATCTTCACTTTAAAGCTTTCGTGACTGCAGGGATTCATCTTCTTGGTTCATTCGGTAAAGTCACGTAGAAGGGAAATAATAAAATAATACAAATAAAACATTATAAAATCATTCTCACGACGTTTAGGCCACAACGCTGTCTTCTCGACAGACCTGTTCTTCACCTGAGGACGGCTGCTTGCGTTGTGGCCGAAACGTCGTGAGAATTGTATTTTATTACGTTTTATTTTTATAATTTTATTATTTCCCTTCTACGTGACTTTACCGAAATAACCAAGAAGATGATATCTTCACGTGCAAAAACACTTCCTCGGACCCATTCCAGAATAGTTTTTAATTGTAAAACAGTTTTAAGCGACCGCCAAATCGTTCCCCTCTGATCCTCAACCTGGGAATCAAGTTGAGTGCTGGGGTTTTGCTGCCTGGGTATCACGTAACACTCCATGTCGGCAATTCAGTTGCATCCTCCACACATTTGAACCGCTTCTAATGAACGCACGCCCAGCGGCACCTGTTGCATTCATCAAAGGTAACTTTAAACCTAATGTCCAAATAGTTAACGTCAACAAACAAACGAAAACCATCGAACGAGGAGGGACACCAGTTCAATCCCTGGTTGGGGGCCGACTCACCTCCTCATCCTGTCTACAACACCTCCACGTACGAGGCCCGAACGCAAACAGACGGAAACCTCCTCTCAGAGTTTCCACGTGGAGACCTGGCGACACTTGGGAGGCATTTTGACACCAGCCACCACCCCCACACGGTGCCATGCTGAGACGCTTGTAGCAAGCCGCACACCTACACCCCCTCCCTCCCTCCCTCCTCTCCTCCCACCACTCCCTCCCTCCCTCCTCCCTCCCTCCCTGCCATCCCTTCCTTCCTCCTCTCCTCCCACCACTCCCTCCCTCCCTTCCACCCCTCCCTCCCCTCCCTCCCCTCCCTCCCTCACCCACTGCTCGTCCCTCCTGATCCCCCCCACCTCCCGAACTGATGATTCGGGGTCCATCTCAGCGTAGTGATCGCAGTCGCTCCAACCACTCAGCCACCCTCCTCCCCCTCTCCCTGCCCCCCCTGCGCCCCCTCCCTCCCCCCTCCCTCCTCCTCTCTCCACCCCTCCCCCCACTCCACCCACCCCTCCTCCCCCTCTCCCTGCCCCCCCCTGCGCCCCCTCCCCCCGCCCTCCCTCCACCCTCCACCCTCCCCCCGCTCCACCCACCCCTCCCTCCACCCTCCCTCCCCCTCTCTCCACCCCTCCCCCCGCCCTCCCTCCCCCTGCCCCCCCCCCCGCCGTGCCCCCCCCGCCCCCCGCCGGGTTCAAGGGAGCGTTGGCCCCCCTCTCGAGCTCCCGCCGCTCCCGCCGCTCCCGCCGCCTCTCGAGGGAGCGCTGCAAAGCGA